CACACACACACACACACACACACACACACACACACACACGCCGCCCATCGTCGCACACACAGCAAAAACAGCCTGGACCAATGCCGAAATCGTTCCCACACTGACGATAATATCCACCAGTCGCCCATCTGTACAGAGCGAATGCGAACTTCAAGTCCGCTGCCAATGGCACACTCCATGGAGTGACTTGCCTTTGGATGTGTGGAGCGATGCAGTCCAAAACGTGCACAATTGTTGGTTTCGTGAGCCTCGTGTATGACCGAAACTTCTCGTTGTGCTCCGCACCCTCCATCAGCAGCTCCTCCCATGTCCCCCCGACACGCGGGCGCACCCAAAAACGGCGCCAACCACGGACTCTCAAATGCCGACCTCTCCCACGGGCTTGCCTGCGTGCCTCCTCCACCGCCAATATGAGCGCCGTTGCGAATGCTGTGTACACGGCAACAATGTTCGATGCCACGTGGATGACCAGAAGCGCAACCATGAATGCCATGTATTGCCTCATCCTCAGCCATCGCACAGTAGCGACGCACATCAACACCACTTCGGCAGGTGATATGTCCGCAGGCATAAATGACATGGCTGTGTGTGTGTGCGCAGACGAACCCCTCTCCCACCTCAGAAACCTGACCACGTCTACCTTCGTCTTCTGCGGCCACACGACGGCTATGGTGGATGCAACGGCTCTTCCGGACTACCCCCGTCACCAACGACGCACCAGCACGATGTCAGGGGATGCTTTTCCCTTGCTGCGGGTGACCCAACCATCTGTGCCCCGTTTTCAAAAATTTGTACGGGACCGACCTCCCAACGACTCGCAGGTCGGCTGTGCAGTCCCAGTGCGCCACGCAGCTGGGACAGGTTCCGCTGTACCCAACTCGACCGCAGACCCCGTGTCACCCACTTCGGGAGGCCAGGCCATACGGTGGTCCACAGGAACGGCCGTCTCCGTGGAAGCCCAAAGAAAGAAACTCCCCGCACTTGGGAAAGACCGACATGTGAGGTTCCAGTTTGCTTGGGCAGGTTCCAGTTTGCTTTTCCGCCACCCATTTCCATCTTTTTAGGGACTTTCTTGTTTTTCTCCTTTCACGTACTGTGGGATCAGCGCCTTATTATGGCCCTGGCCGCACCACTTATCAAATCTGGCAAAAACAAAATATGGCGGGTGTTCCTTTCCAATCCAACTCCTTTATGAGAGACACGTTCTCGTGTTTGCACATTTTGTGAGTGGTGAGTTCTGCCCTGATGATGTATATGCATATGTCGGCCTGACGACTACCGTTGATCTCCGCCTGCTTCACAAGCATCGCTTACGCCGTGAGGCCACGCAACTGCCCACGAGCTGCGAGTCCATGACGTCATGGCTGGTCCTTCCTCTGCGGCACATTGTGCTGACGTTCGGACAATCTCTGCCGCCTAACCGAGATGGACCGGAAGCTTTTTTTTTTTTTTTTGTTTTCCGGAGATGGACCGGAAGCCACGATCTTGAGATATCATCGTCGAACTGACCGGTTCCCAGCCAATTCAGAAATTAATGGACATCAGTCTTCTGGATTCGAACTCATAGCAGCAGTTCCACAGCTCATGGGTGTACCAACTGAGCCAGGCAACAGTGAAGTTGAAGATGAAGATTCCTTCATCTCAGATCGACGACCCCTACCGTACGCAAAGACGTCCGTCTGCTCTGGGCGGTTAGGGCGGTTCGTACTCGTACAGTGTTCGAAACCCTGGGGTAAGGTCCCACCTGCGCCGATTAGGAGATTTCGACCGTTGATCTTTGCGATCTACGGTCAGTATCTCTTAATTCGTGCAAGTGGGACCTAGCCCCCGGTTACAGTAGAGGAGAAGGGATATGATGCAGTAGTCGCGAACTCAGGCATGGCGGTTCGCCCTGACCACTGAACGTGTAGGAGGAAGGAGATCCCCGCATCTACCGGTAGCGAAGGCAGAACCATTGGATGCACTTGCCCGTTAATGGGAGCCAAGTGCATTTGGGAGAACCAGGGAGCTTGTCGGTACTCACAGGATGATTTTTGGAGTGAGGCCGTGCTCACAGGAGAAAGTTTTCGCTTGTTTCTGTACGTAACTGCCGTCGTGTACATCTAGGTTTGGCGATAACTTCGGTCAGTTACATTTAAGATAGGGCCTGGGCGATTTCACATAACGTAAAATCTTTCTCCACTCATCTACGGCGCAGGTCCCGTCAGATACATCCAGCCGTGTCGGCAAAATTCCGTCGGGCCTCGCTCCACTACCAAAATTTCCATACGTATCTGGAGTGTTTTGGGACCGAATACATTCGGCCTGATTGGACATTCCGAATGTACCTGGTCCGTTTCGCACAGTAGATGCACTCCAGGTCCGTGGTGTGGAAGAGCCCCGGGCACGCCGTACGGTACGGAGGTTGATCGCGCCGCGGACGGCGGGCGATCGCACTGGACTACCACCTACCTGCCTCTTGCCACCCGCCGATCAGAGACACTTGGGAATGGAATGGGATGTTCGCTCCCACTTGCGCTTCCCCCACTTGCGCTCACTTGAGCTCCCGCTCCCGCTCCCCCGCTCCCCCGCTCTCCTGCCCCTGCTCCACGCCGAAGATGACATGGAACGCTGTGAGGCGGCGCTGCACCCAATGGCTGGCCGGAGGTCCCATGTGCGGCAATTGCAAACGTGTCCTCTTCAGTGACGTGGTCTTTGCAGTCGGTACAGTGGCGTCATCTCCTGCTCTTTCCGTCTTTGCAGTCGGTACACTGGCGTCATCTCCTGCTCTTTCCGTCCTCGACACACAGCCAGGTGATTTCGAAAAGTGGCATCTCTCTTCTTTTCCCCGCCGTGCGCCCAACTGCCCCCGCTCACAAGCACACAAGCACACAACACATACCGTTGCTTGTTGCTTGTGTGCTCTGGACTGATTGTCTATTCGGGCAATCGGAGGAATGACACGATGTTCGGGTGAGCGGGTGCGCGGGTGCGCGGGGGTTCTGGCAGGCGGCCAAAAAAAAGAGATGTGAAGCCCCCGCGCCTGACCTTTTGTTGAGAGGAAAGAAGAAGTGTCGAGGATAGAACCCGACCTGTAGGGGTAGGGAACCAGGTGGCGGTCGAGCGCGCGCATTCTATCTGGGCGGTTGTCCCTTGCAGCTGCGGGAGCTCATAAATACGATGTAATCAAGGGAACCAAAGAAAGAACAAGCGCACAGAGACAGGTAGGTGGGTGGGGAGGGGCAGAGAGAAAGAGAGAGAAGGAGGGGG